TTGTTTACATCAGCATCACCACAGATGTAATGTGTTGGGCGATGATATTATGACAGCTGCTACATCATCAGGCAACAGAAAATTTTCAGCTAGATTATAATCTTATGGGACCACCGTCTTATACGTGGTCAATTACTGAAGGAAACGTCATTAGTAGTACATGACTGTACATACTTCAGTTTTCCTTCATGGTTTCAGGTTCACAGCTCTTACAGTCTTTGTAATTTCCTAAATGACTTAAAGCAATCAGGTATTTTATGTGTTGACACATTTATCCTTTGTCCTTGATTCCTGAAGCAGCTCCAATATAGATTCAGGATGATAAAGGTGAAAGACAGTTTTTTGTTTTCCTCGGGTCCTTTCAAACACACTCAACCTTATGCTAGTGAGGTAGTTTTGGGGAAAGATTCTAGACAAGTCCAGGATGGGGGTCTGGTTTCCAGAGGAACCAACCATGTGCTCAGAGGGCTGGAACTTTCAATCCTACTCCTCAACCTCGTGGGAGGGGAGAGGGATGGAAGGTTAAGTTGACCCCTCATGGCCAATGGCTTCATCAGTCATGTCCACATATGAAGCTTCCATAAGACCCTCCAAAAGGACAGGCTTAGGAGAGCTGCTAGAGAGCTGACCACTGGAGTTCCTACAGGAAGGCTCTCCTGGAGGAGGCGTGGGAGTTCCTCCTCATTTTGCCCTGTTCACCTCTTTGCCTAATGGTCATCAGTAATATCTTTATAATAAGCCAGTAAACATAAGTTTTGTGAGCCAGTTTAAAGTTAATCATACCCAAGGAGGGAGTTGTGGAAACCCCCATGGGCAGCTCGTGGGTCAGAACACGGGTGAAACAAGGGGAGGCTTGTGATTGGCATCTGAAGTAGAGGCAGTCTTGGGGACGGAGCCCTTAACCTGTGGGATCTGATTCTGTCTCAGGTAGACAGTGTCAGAATTAAATTGAATTAGAAGAGGCACAGCTGGTGTCTGCTGCAGAATTGATTGCTTGCTTGGTAGGTGGGGGAAATGCCATACACATCTGGTCACAGAAGTGTTCTGAGCTGAGTGTTGAATAAGTACAGGAGACACTGAGGTTTTTTTTTTTCAGGTTGGTATTCTACCCTCTGAAACACTAATCCATGACCATGTGCATACATCTTAATGTTTTAATTAATGTAATTCCACCAATCAAGGATGCTCTCAACCCTTCTCTCCATTTACTTAAGTTCTGCCTTCTTCATCTTTCCCAGGACCCATCATTCATTCTATCCTTTAATTAGTTCAGCAGAAATATGATATCATTCTTACAGCAGGGATTTCATGTATCTGTCTGCCTCTAGAAAGAAGTTGCCATGAGGGTAGCATCTTGGTGTTTCCTAGAGCACAGGAGAAGATCAAGAGCCTACCATGTGTGTGGCACTGGAGGTGCTGAGGACTAAGACAGTTCTTTCTCTTGGCAATCTCTTCATCTAGGGGAAGACTGACATTAAAAAAAATGAATCACAGCATATGAAATCCCTGCATTGATGAAGACAGGAGAAGAGCAAAGAGCCAGTTCTTCTCTGAGAAGGAAAGAAAGGACACCCAGAGCAGGTGATTTTTGAGCTGAGTTTCTGAAAGAACAAATAGCACCTCTCTAGTTATGTAAGATGGATCCTAAGGAGGAGGAAAAGTGTGTACAATGGTGAGGACACATCAAGATGCAGGGGTTCTTCTGGCTGAGCGAGGGGTTGGCTTGCTAGAATGTAGGCTTTATTCATTGATCCACATATTTATTCAGCAGATAGTGCATAAACCTAGAATGTGTCAGCAATGTGCTAAATTCAGAGGATTCAAATGTGGGCAAAACAGATAATATCACTCATTCTCCTGTGGAGTCTGAAACCTAGGAAGCTGGGTGTAGTGGGGTATACTTGTAGTCCCAACTACTCGGAAGATGGAAGCAGGAGGATCCATGGAGCCCAGGAGTTATTTAAGGTTAGCCTGGGCAACCTAGTGAGACTCCAATCAGAAAGAAGAAAAAGAAAGAAAGAGAGGAAGGGAGGGAGAGAGCACAGGGAAAGAGGAAGTAAGAAAGCAAGGTTCATCAGGGACTGCAGCTGATCACAAAGTTCTAAAGCACATATGAAAGGGGAAGGAGGAAGGAGTTGGGGGAGTGGGCTGGGCTAGACTGTAAGAGACCTCTGACATCATGCCAGGGAGAAGGAAATTCCCTCCCATCTGTCACTAAGTCCTGCCTCTCCCTCCTCTGTGATAACTCTCAATTGTGTTCAACCTTCCACCATTCTTGTCACATGGCTTCCTTAAATGAATGGGGCAGTCTTGTAAAAGTGATCCTTGCTTCTCACCCCCTCCCCACATCGTTCCCAATGCAAACAGATAATCTTTTAAAAGAGAAAATCTGTTATATTATTCCCTATAGTAGGCAGAATTCTAAGCTGGTCCTGTAATCTCCCTGGCTTTACTCTGGTGATTACATGACATTGTGAAGCAAAAGGGATTTTGCAGATGTACTTGAGGTGACTAATCAGTTGACTTGAAGATAGAGAGATTATCTGCCTCATGAAGCTAGTCTTTGAAAAGCAGAGTTTTCTCCAGCTGGTAGCAGAAGAGGAGGAGGGAAAGGTTGGAAGAGAAGGAGGGATGGATGGATTTGACCTGCCACTGCTGATTTAAAACAGGGAGGGGGTGTTCCATGGGAAGGACCGGAGAGAGGCCTCTAAAAGCTGAGACTTTTCTGACAGCTAAAAAAAAAAAAAAAAAAAAATGGGGGCTTCAGTCCTACAACTGAAAGCACCTGGATTCTGGAAACAATCTGAATAAGCTTGGAAGTAGATTTTCCCCAGAACTCAAACCAGCCAACACCTTACCTTTAGCCTGAGACACTCTGGGCAGAGGATGCAGCAGCCATGCCAAGCAAGTCCTGCAACCTATAGGACAGCAAAATAATACATGGGTGTTGTTTTAAGCCACCAGGTTTTTGGTAATTTATTATATAGCAACAAAAAACTAAGGTACCTTCAAAGTCTCCAACCCTCCAGTAAAACTCTATTGAGTTACTAGGTCCAGGAATTTAATCCTCACAACAGTGCTATTATGCAGGCATTTTTATTATCATCATTTCATAGATGACAAAACCAAGGCTCAGATTAAAAACTTCTCCTAAACTCACAGCTAGTAAGTAAACAACCAGTCTGACTCCAGTGTTGCTACTCAATGGCTTCTTCTTGTTCCTAGGGTAAATTCAAGTAGAAAAGCGTAGAAATAAAATCCTTTCCTGCTTAACCATCATTGCCTGCTAGACACTCCTCTCACTGAAACTCTTTATAGCCCCAGTAACTGCCATGTTTTCTTGATTCCTTGACTTTACAAGTTGATTCCTTCTGTCTGGATTGGGGCTTGCCCCTGTCTTCCATCCGTTTTTCCTTTGGCAGGCTCAAATGGTCCTTTGGGTCTTTTGGAAGATGCTATTTAAAGTGGGACATCTTCTTGATCCTCCCAGATGAGACTGGATTCTACTACAGCATGCAGGTAGGTTCCTCTTGCACCTTATCCTTCCCCCTATTAGAAAACAGAAGACACTGTGTTAGAAATGTTTATTCAGCTGTACTCATCACTAGATAGTGAGATTCCTGCAGGCCAGTACTGGTGATTTGTTTATCATCAAAGCCTTAGCATAGGACCTGGGGCATAGTAGGAACTCAATAAATATTTACTGCATGAATCAGTGAACTGACACAAGTGCTTTTATCCAAGAAGCAATGAGAAGCCATCCAAGGTCTTGAAAGAAGGGAGTGAGTTTATAGATCTTTGCTTCACAGGGCATATACTTAAAGCAAATCTTTCACACAAGAGACTGTCCTCATCAGCTGAAGATGAAACAAGTTCACTGGCATTGTGACACTGGCTTTCTTGTGCTGTGAAACTTGGCTCTTACCTCTTCTGGGCCACATGGATTTTCTGGATACTAGAAAATGTCAGAAACCGCCATGGTAGTGTCCTCGGTTTCCCCTTAAGGAAGCAGGACACATAAAAGAGTTTATAACTTGGGTCTGCGCCTCATACTTCCACCACAATCAGGAGTTTCCCTGTTAAGAAGGCTGTGGGAAGCTCTTTGGAAACCAGCAGACATGACCTGCGGAGAACTGGGAGTGGCCTCTGAAGGTCCCGCTCCAGTGGCGAACATTTCCTACCTAAACTTGCTCACCGAGCCCACTGCCCCTTCTAGTTCTGCTTATATGTGCAAATCTTGCTTCCTGTCAAGGAAGAGTGGAAGATCTTTTGCTCAGATTCCGAGCTTACAGCTCCTAGGTGGTCTTACTAAGGCGATTACAGCGTCTCTGTTAGAGACCGCTGAATGCCTCAGTTTCCCAGGTTGTGCAAAGTGCACTCCCCAGAATACGCTTCCCTGAAGGACCAGGGCCACATTTAGGGGCGCCTGGAAGGTGAGATAGTTTGATCAAGACACATCCAGTCACCTCTAGATGCAAGGGGAGGAGGCAGTAGGTGGACACGCAGAGCTAATACCTTGTAGAGGTGCAGAGAGGTCTCGAGTTCTTCCTTGCACCCGCTCGCGAAAGAGCTGCAAATTGGACTTCAGACGCCAACAACTCCAGCGAGGGACAGACTTGCGCGGCGAGGCTGGGAGGGGCGAGTCTGGGCGCCGCGCCTCGGGTGCTCCGGGCGGGAGCTCTGGGCGCTGGGGCGGGAAGGGGTGGAGCCACATGGGGAGGAGCAAAACCCGGAGGCCTCGGGCACGGTGGGCAGAGCCAGAGCTGCAGGAACCAGAACCCCGGCGCGCGGCCTCTGGAACGCTGGCCGTCTGGGCCGAGCACAGCATCTCCCGCCCGCGCCGGAGCCTGCCTTCGGTGCGCAACCAGGGAGAAAGGCCGGCGCTGCTGGAGACCGGGATCACAGATTGTTCTTTAATCTCAGAGCCGCTGGCAGTTGGTGCTGCTCCTGCCGCCCCACCAGGGCCGGGCTAAATCTGCAGTTTGTGTCCCGTTTGCACTATGGATCCTTCGGAGAAGAAGATATCGGTGTGGATCTGCCAGGAGGAGAAGCTGGTGTCCGGTCTCTCCCGCCGCACCACTTGCTCGGATGTGGTGCGGGTTCTGTTGGAGGACGGCTGCCGGCGAAGACGGAGGCAGCGGCGGGGCCAGCGAAGGGGGATGGCCGGAGACCCGCAAGGCCCAGGGGAACTGCCAGAACCCCCGGATGAAAACGACGACGACGACTATGAGGCGCTGTCCCAGGGCATGCTGTGCGGGCCCCCGCAGTGCTATTGCATCGTGGAGAAGTGGCGTGGCTTTGAGCGCATCCTGCCCAACAAGACGCGCATCTTGCGCCTCTTATCCGCCTGGGGCGACGAGCAAGAAAACGTGCGCTTCGTGTTAGTTCGCAGCGAGGCGTCGCTGCCCAACGCAGGTCCGCGCAGTGCGGAGGCGCGGGTAGTGCTCAGCCGGGAGCGCCCCTGCTTGGCCCGGGGAGCCCCGGCGCGGCCCAGCCTGGCCATGACCCAGGAGAAGCAGCGGCGGGTGGTGCGCAAGGCCTTCCGCAAGCTGGCCAAGCTCAACCGGCGGCGCCAGCAGCAGCCGCCGCCTTCTCCCTGTTCGTCCACTTCATCGTCCACTGCCTCGTCTTGTTCGTCGCCGCCGCAGGCCCTAGAGAGTGCGTCTGTGGAGCGCATGGAGACGCTGGTGCATCTGGTGCTCTCCCAGGACCACACCATCCGCCAGCAGGTGCAGCGGCTTCTGGAGCTGGACCGAGAAATCGACCGCTACGAAGCCAAGGTGCATCTTGACCGTATGCGACGGCATGGGGTGAACTACGTGCAGGACACTTACTTGGTGGGGGCAGGGATAGAACTCGATGGGCCCATCCCGGGCGAGGAGCCCGAGGAAGTAGCGGTAGCGGAGGAGGTATCAGCGGCGCCCCTGGACGGTGAGGCTCAGGCGGCAGCGCTGGAGGAGCTGGCCCGGCGCTGTGACGAACTGCTGCAGCTGCAGGAGCAGCGAACCCAGCAGGAGGAGTTGCTGGAGCGTCTCTCCACCGAGATTCAGGAGGAATTGAACCAGAGATGGATGCGGCGGCGCAGGGAAGAACTGGCGGTGCGAGAGGAGCCCCCGGAGCCCGACGGCGGCCCGGACGGCGAGCTGCTGCTGGAGCAGGAGCGGGTCAGGACGCAACTCAGCACCAGCCTTTACATTGGGCTCAGGCTCAACACGGACCTGGAAGCCGTCAAGGCGGACTTGGATTACAGCCAGCAGCAGCGGGACAGCAAGGAGCGTGAGCTGCAGGGCCTTCTCCAGACTTTGAACACTTTGGAGCTCACCATAGTGCAGGAGGGGGCTTCTGGCCCCAGCGGACCCACGCGGGAACCCCAGCCTCAGGCCTGCGCCGAGATGTGGGTGGACCAGGCTCGCGGAATGGCCAAGAGCTGTCCTGGCAACGACGAGGACTCGGATACTGGACTGAGCTCTATGCACAGCCAGGACTCGGATTCTGTGCCTGTGTGCGAATCCCTGGTGTAGGAGAAGCAGGGAGGGAGCCGGAGACGGAAATGTCTCCCTTTCTTGCAGCAGGCATTGGACCCGCCAGCTCAGGGACCCCAAATTAGGCTGGGGTGAGCCCGGAGCTGCTGCCTGGCCTCAGATCTCCAACCGGATCGGGGAAGGGTTGGGGATACCTGCTGGGCACTGGCTCTTCTCTGGTTACAGGGTGAGTGTGGAGGAGGGTGAAGGAGAAGGAAGCCTGGTCTGTGTTCCAAGTTCTTTCAAGAGAAAGAGGTAGTGAGGCGGTGGAAACCCCCTATACTGGAAAACTAATATAGCACTTCTCAGTCTAGGGATGCAACCTCTTCCTTCTCCACCACCCTGGGGAAATAGACGTGGTCCAAACCCATTTTCAACACAAGAAATAAGTATTATGGAGATTTCACCACTCCTCTGAAGGGGAAGAACTGATGGCAGCTAGAACTATAGTCTGTGGCATAAAGTGCTCTTAAAAGAAACAGTTGGATGAAAAGGAAATTCCTTGAATGTTAATTGTGACTGTAAACGTGTTAAAACTAGCCAAAGAGGACGCAATGGTATTGGTCTCAGCCTTACTTAACATCTTTGATAAAAACCCATAGGCACCAAAAACCCTGCCTGTTTACATTTCTGCAGATTTGGGAATTACCCCTTGGCTAAATCATTTGCCTTTTCTTTCAAAGGCTAAATTGTATGGAAGTCTAACTCTGTATTTCCTCCTAGAAAATACAGTGTAGGTTGAAAGGGGATCTTTTTTTTCCCAATGTAGTCTTTTATTATTACAAAAGCCAAACATATTCTTTTGGAGATATCAAATCCTGGCAAACATAGTCCCTGGTTAAAATTTAATCTGGGCTCTTTGGGGTCTGTTCCTGCAAAGGCAGGTGTATTGTCCTTTGGTTCATGCTGCCACTTTGTTGACCCAATCACTGTTATTTCAGAAAAAAATAAAAGGGAAGTTGCAGAACTCAAGTTACACACAACTTAATTTGCTGTTTAATGAGCAAAGTTTAAACTTAAAAACAAAGATCTTTGCTCATGTTCAGCTTTGAACTTGAGCTATAAGATTAAAACCAACTATGACCTTCATGGATTTTACCCAAATTCAAGTCTGACTTCAGTATCTTCGGTCAGAGGTTAGTTACTTGTTCAAACTTAAATCGAGACAGTGTAAATATCAGGGTTTACTAGATAAAGGCCTCCAAATAAAAGTAAAATAACCTCATGGTACACCTTAGGTGAACGAGTTGATTAACCATAGCACGTAGCTTACAAATAAAAGCGTATTCAAGTGAGCTAAGGATTTGGATTACTCTTGTCTGATGCACACCTGTGCACATGCCAGGGGAGGGTGACATGTTCTCTGTGGCCAGTGATAGAGCTGGTGGGCATTCGAGTGTAATTGTTCCAGTTATTTCAATTAAAACTTATCAGTTGTAGCGAGTTGTTGGCCCCCGTGGAAGGAGTCTGCTGGCTGGTTTCCCTTTGGAGTTGAGTACTTCTGAGGAATGTGACTCTAATCTGTCCTGAGGAGGTATTAACAATGGGCTGTGTGTGTGGTGCCAGCATGGTGCGAGAGCCTGGTTATCAACCTAACTGTTGAGGATACTGGGGCTGGCTCCAGTTTCAACACTACACGTGAAGATAACTTAAGAGGCCTTGTTCTATAGAGAAGTTTCTTCCCTTGCAGGGACCCTCTGTGTTGCCAAAAGGAGCCTGCCCTCCTGACCTCCTCAAGCCACCATCTGTGCTGTCTCCTTCCTAGAGACAGCCCCACCTTGGATACTGCCACTGCCATGGTATTACAACACGTGTGTGTGTGTGTTTTCAGATTTTCAAGTAAAATCAGAATTAAAAGGCCGTTTTCTTAATTGATGTTTTCAAAAGACCTTACTTGGCATAATTATGGTTTTTTAGTTTCATCTGATGCAGCAAACATCTATGCATTTGGTCTTGGGCATGATTAAAATGAGGAAGGAACCCAAAGAAACCCACTGTCCTCAGACAATCATTTGATCCCTTAAACTCAAAGTCTAATGGTAGCTTTCATTTTGAGGCAGAGGTAAAATCCTCATTAGAGTGTGACAAATGCTACTTGTCTGAATGGTTTATGCTGGCAATGGGCTGACCTGGTGGTTTTTAAATTATTGTGCTTTTTTCCCCCCAGGGTGGTAGAGGAGGTGGCTCTTGGATGTTTATTAACTTAGAAAGAACACAGAAGTTGGCAGAACAGGACTGCCTGGCAGAAAGGAGCTGTTTTTCTTTTCACTATTATTATTTTAAACTTTGATGGGCTGCTGACGTCAGCAAATATTCTTGAAGCCCATAAAGCAAACAAGCCACATCACAGGGAGAAGGCTTGTGGGATTTTCTCTGTTGCTGTCTTTCTAGAACCCTTCCCTCTCCCAACCACCTGAAGATATTTCTCTGGTCAGCTCTCCAAGCAGCGAGGAGTCTTTATATATAACAAAGGGCTAGCCTAGCCTGCTGAGTTTTGCTTTCATCCAAATCAATTATATTCCTAAAAGGCACTCTCTGTGTGGGTAGGGAGGGGAGAATGGGGACAGACCAGGAGGAGACAATAGGTACTTTTACGAAGAGCTTTTTGCAAAACCTTGCAAAACTGAGAAAGATATAGGTATAAAAAGCACCAAAACAGTGCTTGTGTATAGGAAGTGCTAAGTAAATAATAAATAAGTTTGGTTTCATTCACATGCACTGGGCATGGGAGCAAGTGCATAAGTGATGCTCCAGTCCCTGATGTCAGCGACCCTGTGTTCTCCAGGCCTCCCCAAAATCCTGGGAGGAACCAGCAAGCTCTGGGAGAAGAGGAGGGAGTGCAGGTTCCACATCAGCCAGTCCCATGCTTTTTTTGGAACCGAGACAATCAATTGTGTATTGATGTGAATTATCCCATTCTTGGCCATCTCCCAAACCCAGAGATTCCATATGACATCTCTATGTTTGTTTTTTCTCCTACATAGAATATGTTTATTATTATATTTACTATCAGAAAAGTTACATAATCTAGTCCTTGCGACAAACCTGAAAGTAAGAGGAATACAAAAAAAAAAAGTTACCCTAAATCTCTCACCACCAAAAGCCTGTCACTTCCAAAGTTTGGCATTTTTTTCTTAGGGACTTTTTGAATTTTGAAGAGTTCATATTTTGCTCTATTTTTAAAAATACAATTTTGATAAGAGTGCCTATATCCTATGATACTCAGGTTTTGACAGACTCCTTGTAAACAGATCCATTCATCTGGTAAGTATACCATAGTTTATTTAACTGCTCATATTATCAGGTTGTTTCCCATACTTTTTTACTATTATAAAATAATATCATGATAAGCTTTTTTGTGCATGCGTCTGTTTCCTAATTAGACTCCTTCCCTAGAGAGACAATTCCAGACCAAAGAGTACAAGCATTTAGAGGCTTGATATTGCCAAGTTACTTTTCCAAAGACTTATTCTAATTGCAATAATCAAAATTAATTAATTACTCCTTTGTGGCCTCAGGAAGATAGGGTGGACAATCACTGTCTTAAAATATATTTACAGTAGCAAGCATGGTCAGCTGATAAGAACTGTTAGGGGGTATGGTATTTTCTCTCTTTTTTTTCCCCTCTCTTCCCTGAGCACCTGCTTAAGGTAACAGCAGTCTGGGCTCTCATTAGAATTGGCCAGTGATCTAAAAGGAGGAGGGACAAAAATCCACATTAGCAGGATTAATGAGATGACAAATATAAGTGTATTTATATAGAGAAAATACTCATTATATATTTTTTTGTCTTTAGTGGAAACATTTTTCTAGGGAGATAGCATCATAAAACATTTGTGTATTTCTCACCTAGTTGTTTATCAGCAGTCTCTGCAGCTTAGGTTTTTCCTAGAAATTTCTTTCTAGATACATCACTGCACTTGAGCTTATTTTTAAATTCTTGAAAAGGGAAGATTTGATCATGGCAGTCTGTGAAATCTACATTGTGAAAATATTTGCAGAATTTGTTTCCCTAAACAAAAAGGAAGGAAGATGAGGAACCCATTTTCCTTGAGTGTTCCCCAAATGCCAGATCCTTGTGCTGAGTATCTACATGTGCATTTTTTTTCTGCATTCTTCTTGTGTGACGGAACTTTTTAACCTCCAGTTTTTACAGAGAAACAAAGTTCATCTAGCAGATCATCAGCAGTAGATGCAGGGTTTCAACCGTAGTCTGATCTCAGATGTGCTCTGGTTGCCACCCACATGAGGCACATACACAGGAAGTGTTTGGCACCTGGAAAAGGGAGTCTTCTTGGGCCCCAGGGTGTTGGCATTGGAAAGGCTTAGAGACTATCAAAGTTTTCCCTCAATTCCAGAGCTGATTATTATCTACTAGGTGAGGATTTAGTAAAAGACCAAGAAGGAGAAATTCCTATGTAAATATTTAAGTACTTGATTATGAGAAGTGAGTGTTTTGCCAGTGAAAAAGAAAACTTGCAAAAAAGTTAATACCCCAAGTATTAGCATAGAACTTTTGACCGATAGCCCCAAGGGCTGTAACTGCTGCAGAGCACAGTCAACAACATGGAATCCTTGGACACCAGGGTAGGTGCCTGTGCATTAGTCACATTCACATCCTGGAAGGTGGTTCTAGCTGTGCTGCAGCTGTTCCTACTGGACCTCTTTAACTGGACTTTCCTTCTGGTGAGCTTCTGTGTATGCAAGTATCAGGGAAGAGTAGACGGTCGGAGTTGTGGGGCTCCCAAGGACTTTTGTACCCATGATGTCAAGCATGCATACCTGGCTTAGGGCATCTTTGACCATGTTAACTCCACTGCACATGAGGAGACCTGGGGTGGGTTGCTTTGAAGGAGCACTATCCCAGCATCTGCCTTCTCATTCATTCTAAGGCAAGTCTTTCAGACCCATAATTTTCAGGATAACATCACGTTTCTTAGCAGGATTTACAAAGTTGTTGATTATCTGACTCAAGATCCCTCCCTAAAGTCCACACATTT